ACACACAGAGAGAGAGAGAGAGAGAGAGAGAGAGAGAGAGAGAGAGAGAGAGAGAGAGAGAGAGAGAGAGAGAGAGAGAGAGAGAGAGAGACAGGTCATAGACTCGGCGACTAGTTGATGGAGACTTCTGCCAGGTGCAGAACCAACATAGTATGGGAGGCCATTGTCAACTGAGGGAGTTTTTTATCATTCTGACTGTTGTATCCGGGCTCTCAATATTGTTGTATTCTTACAATTCAGGTGCGTCTTCTCGTATCATCATCCATGATTTGTCATCTCATGTGTGTGATGTGCAAGGAGTGACCTTTGTTGTATGTGCCGCTCCTTGCCATTTCCAAGTCATCCCCACACTATAAAAACCGCTAACATAAAGCCCGCACGGTGGGAAGCACGGACCAGAAAGGCCGTGGGTCCAGGCCTGGTGGGCCCAGACAATGACCTGGTACTTATGCTTGGCCGTGCTACTTGGAGTTGGTGAGAGCGGGCCAAGCTGAGGAAGAAGGCAACGGTGCACGCTTCTAGATAGTCGGTGCTCATTGTGGTCATACTCCTGTTGCCGCAAGCGTCTTTCTCAAGCGCGGTTGTTCTCATCACTTGAAGCCACTTGTGGTGTCACAACGATTGGGAGTTGGCATGCGATGGCCCAGCGTGGAGAGCAAGCAAAAGAGCAGAGGAGGAAAGAAGCACAAGGAGTCCCGTAGGTGAGGCCATTGGTGGGGTTGTACCCGGGTTTTCTATGTTATAGATTGGGAACAGACTCCAATGAACCTAGCCGATAGTCTGAACCGGGTGTGTTGAAGAGAGTGGCAAGTACGTGAGCCGGGAGGAGCACGGAAGTACGCTGTTTCGGGGACTGGCTCTACTGACACTAGTATTCGCTGGCTGACAGGGCACCCGTTGGAAAGACAATCTGCGAAAAGAGGGAAAATTTTCCAAAAAATAACAGTCTTTGCCAAAACTCACGTCCCACGCTGGGATTTTGTCTCGATGCACATGACCAATTATCCCCAACCCTGTGTGGACGCACCTGACAACAATTACGTCCCAGAGAAGTGCAGAAGTCCTACACCCATCGCCCCCTCGACATTCTGTTATTGCTCAAGCTCGCTTTTTTAAGCTGATAAAGTAGCACTATGTTAGGAGGGGAGGGATACGAAGACAAAGAAGAGGAGGGGGAGATTGAAGAAGGGAAAGAAAAGGACGGCGGTTGTTCCTTGTCCATGGTTGTTTGCATGTTGTCCCACCTGGTGTTTCCGTGCATGCTTGCAGGGTTGGTTCTGTACGTTTGATATATCCCTGTGGTTTTGCGTGATATGTCTCAAACATTTCCCTCTGTGTGTGTGTGTGTGTGTGTGTGTGTGTGTGTGTGTGTGAACGAACATGTGGCTATTCTGTGTGAACGAACATATATCTAGAGCGTGGAAAAATCAGGAGCGTGGAATTACTTCGCATATTAAATGTGACCGGCCTTCTGTGTGGGCCATTGCCCAGTGTGCGTAGGCTTGAACCCCCTGTCAGTGTCTCTTTCTTAGTTACTTCATGTGTCACCTCTGCAGTTTCATTTTCATTGTGTCTGTTCAGGCCCTGATGATGCCGCGCTGGTCTGATTGAAATCTGTCGAAGTTGCATATCCCAAACAAACTCACTTCAGCAAGTCAAGCGAAGAAGATGGACCCCCCCGAGGAAAACATGGTTTGGCGAGTTGGCACCCGTCCAAATGTAGCGTCTTCACCAATAGTTGTATCCTTTTGCGGTCGTGCTTTCTTTTCTACACTTCTTTCTTTCTCCTTTCATCTCTATAAATGGTCAAGTCTCATGTACTTGGCTTCCTCCTTTTTCGTTCTGAAAAAAAGCACAGCTCCAGAAACAAAAACAAAAATTGAATAACTGAGAACAAACAGGTTCTTATGGGTCTCACTATGTAGTACATACTCTACATACACGTTCTGGGGAGCATCAGTTCAATTCCTATTCCACTATGTAGCAGGGACCAGAAAGGCCCCGGGTCGAGGCATTAAAAAGAATGCACCAGGTGGGTTTGTTCGCTTACGCACTTAGTTTGAGAGTTCAACGTGGAACTACTGTGCGGATGAGTAGCTGGGCTTTCCGGTTAGTCAAGCACGTGGGCTGGGCCCGTGCTCACACATCTTCATTCTTTCAGTAGCTGTAGTAAAGGTCAATGTATGTATTTGTTCAAATCTACGCATGACGGTTGGTCAGATGTGCATCTACTGTGAAATTTTTACGGTTCAAACTTTGGTTATGTATTCTTCAAAGGTGTATGTTCCTGTATAATGCATCATAGGCATAGATAGCAAAACGAGATATGGTGTGTTCAGTGGGAGTGAGTTTAGTCGAGAATTTTGATTGCTGATTGGAGATAATCTGTATCTCATAAGCCTGAACTACTCGAGCTGTGCTTTGTAGCAAATCCTTCTTTCAGATCTAGTAGAAATTGTATAGTGTTCTTCAGGACATCCGTTAAAATTGGAATGATACAGAGAAGATTAGCATGGCCCCTGCGCAAGGATGACACGCATATATCGAAATTTAATTAAAAAATAGAAAATTGTATAGTGGGTGTCACTGGGTGATATAAAAAAATGAACTTTACAGTGTGTATTCATCCCATTTCCACTGTATTGAAAACTTCTACCTATCTCGTGACCACCGTTCATTGAACGAGCGATCGTCAGTGCTCGATACTGAAAAGAATCACGAGATTTATATGGAAACAACTTTGACGCATGAAACACTGGCCATGTGTGCAGATCCTGAGGCACAACAAACCCATAGGAAGGACCGAATGAATCTGCACCTACGTGCTTCAATACCTCCCAAGCGCCATCATATTGAGGAAGAAGCTTCTTCGACACGACTACCTCGTTTGTGGATAATCGTGCGATTGTGTTTCCACGTATGTGCTTAAGCATTACAAATATTTCAAAACCTACTCATTTAATGACCTTCCCACTTCTCTGTGGACTTGTTGTTAGGTACATCCACCACGCGGTGTCGAAAAAGAAGTCGTGTGCTCAGGTGCATCCACGTTGTGGTGGAAAAGCAGTCGTATACATCCAAGGAGGTCCCTAGTGTGAGTATGCCCTCATCTTGCTTGCCATGTGACTTTTTGGACTGTTTCTCAAAATTGCAGAATTTTTTCAAATGTCAGCATCCTGATTTTAAAGAGTCCATTAGAGATCTAATTTGGCTGACAGTAAACTTGACCTCAAACAAACACATGCAACAAATTTGATCAAATAATTTTTTTTTGACGGAAAACACAAAAATTTTGACCCCCAAACTGTTGTAGGGTTTACGGTTTAGGGTTTAGGGTTTAGCATTTGGCATTAACCTCTTCTTGTGTTAGAATCACCCATCTTTAGAGACACCTGTCGTGTGGTGTCACCAGCAAAAGGATTGCATATAGTCAAAAGGTTTGTAGTGCAGGCAAAGCAAAAAGCTTTGCAGCCCCCTGTTCTGTTTTGTTTGGGCTGTTTCCTTCCTCTTTTGTTTGCCTCTTTGCCTTTCGGCTGTGGGCAAGTGCATCGATATGAGACACGAGTGTGGGGGCAGGCGCCGCTCAACCTACATCCACGTGGGCGGCCTTGTACGCAAGGGAGTCTGAACAGGGGGAGTTGTAAGGAAGAAGATGAAAAATCAAATGATATATTTTTTTTGTTTTTTTATTGTTTTCTTTTTTGCTTTTGCACTCTGATATCTATGTGACGATATATGCTCCGACGTTGCTAGGTCACACACGCAGCATGCACACAGCATGCACACAAGACAACATGCATACAACACGTACACACCACACACAGCATCCACCCAGCACACACAGCGTGCATACCACAATCATAGCACACATAGCACACACACAGCATTCACACTCACGCATACAGCACGCATACAGCACGTGTACACACAGCACACACTAAGCACATGCACATAGCACACACTCAAGATGGAGTCCATGGGCCAGTTATACAACACAAACATAGCATAAGCATAACCCCAAGATGAATGTCATCGCACCATTCCATGGGTCCAGCAGGTACATAAGACAAAAATGGGTTGCCTTGACCGCATGCTAATACAACAGTTATTGTCATAACAAGGTGGTGAACAGGCCACCATAGCCGGATCTTCTTCACCACTTGGTTGCTATCTCTCTGAAGGCCCAGTTGTAGTCATTAGGAGTGTAGGTAATAGGTTGCAGTCTAGGTGATAGGTGATAGGTGGCCTGTAACAGAGAGGGTGGGAGACGGGGGGCCCGAGGGATCGGGGACACACACAACACTCACATGGCACACACCCACACAGCGCACACACAGCACACACACAACACACGTATAGCACACGTAAAGGATGCGGGGCACACACAGCATGCACACAGCACAGACAGCCACGCATAGCACACACATAGCACACACACAGCACACACATATCACACACACATAGCACACACACAGGACACACACAGCATGCACGCAGCATACGTACAGCACACACACACATGTAGCACACACATAGCACACACACAACACATATACCACACACACATAGCGCACACATAGCACACAAACATAGTGTTGGTGGGCTTGGCCCCCGGTGGACGGACACTTATCGATAGGCAGACCAGGCTGTGTGTACGCTGGAGCAGGCACCCCTTTTTTTCTTTTTTTTTTTCGTTTCTTAACAACACCCTCCAGTGCCAGTGGTGTTTGTAAGAGGCAGGCACCAGTTATTTTGGCAAATTTCTGTCTGCAAGGAATATGAGTGTGAACGATATACAGAAAACCGAATTGCGAAATCACACAGCTGTCTGAGTAGTCGTGTACAAGYAGAGAGCACAATAGCACCGAGAATCCATCCAAATACAGCAATACAATGAAGTAATGAGCCAATGTTCAAGCTCGTAGGCCATATCAACACAATATCCAAAGTCGCTCCTCTCCGTCTGCGGCTCTGCGCCCCAGCCTACTCTACCCGACTATCCTACCTACAGCTGGTTCACGGAACAAGCTTTTGAAGGGAGAAGAGAGGAATGCCAGGCAGTGAACACGTAGTGCTTTCAGAAAGTGTTTTTCTTTTTGTTGTTTCTGTTTTTTTTTTTTTTTTAAAGCTTAATATATGGTTTAATGTAAACGTACAGGGAACCACTGATAACCATTCCGAGGGAGGTTCCACTAGCGAAGACGATTGGATTGAATGCCCGAATCTGGACGTGTTTGCAGAAAAGTGTAGAAAATCGAAATTTAACCCCTTTTCTGCATGTCTCCTTAGAACACGTCCAGATTCACATGCTTAATCCAGTCCGCTTTGCTACCCTTGGGACTTGGGCCTTGGTGACAGAAAGTCCTGCTTGAGGTTAAGATCTTCGCTCTCCTTATTTTCTGCTAGGTAAGCTGACTATTTTCTGCTTCGGG